TCTGAACTAGCAAACAATCACTGAAGCGGTCAACATCGGTAGTTTATCTTTATTCCGTATGGTTATCAGTGGTGAACTTTTGAAAGAACAGCGTAGGTGCGCGGCGTTGAATGTGGCTTTTACCGCTCCATTCAGTTGTCTGATGAGGGTTTCCGCGGCAACTTTACCCTTAAAAGGAAGACTAGTGAACACGTCCTTCTTTTCCACTCTATCAGTGTGTATTTTTGGTACCTGTTCCATCATATTTCGTTGAATGAAGCGGTCGGGATAGCCATTGCTTCTGAGCACGTTGGAGATAAACTTGAGTTTATCTTCCAATACTTCCTGTGAGCAGATTCTTCGAGCTCTAGATACCAAACATTTAATCAGGTTTCTCTTTAGCTTGATCGGGGCATAGCTGTAAAAGTTCGTGTATTGGCCACTCCAGGTTTTCTTACGGTACACGCGGCGTTGTATAGATCCATCACATCTTCTAATGAGGAGTACATCTAGAAACGGTATTCGATCATCTGCTTCTACCTCCTTTGTAAAATGTATGGCTATGTGTAAGGAGTTGAACTTTTCTAGTAGTTGATCCAGATCGCAGTTTGAATCAGCTATACAAAAGATGTCGTCTACACACACACGCACAAACACAGACACGCATACACATTTTATTGTTCTCCTCCCAACCCCTAGGATTTTTCCCTCATATAAACTGTAATGGCATGATTACGAGTTATTCGCCATTGTTGGAGCCGAATAAACCTCTAGAATAATTGAACTTGGCTTCTGAGGTTGCGCGTCACTCAACGCTGGCCTGGATAGTCGTTTGGATTTAACGACCCCATTTCCCACCGGTTATCGCACTGTCTCTTGCTAACAACTTGCACCTAATAGTTGGTGACCTCAAGACGCCCCCTGCACCCTTTATTCCGTTTAAACCTCAGTGACCTTATTTTTCAACCAACAAGAGGAACCTATCATTTAGATTACATAACCAAAAATCACGATGATATAGCAGCAGTGGTCAAAACCCGATCCTGGTCAGACCTAAGATTTGCTCACACTCCGGAAACCTTTCTTTTGCACGACCTAAACACATCATCTTCCATCAACAAAATCTTTCCTAGACGATATTGCTCTGCTAAGAGTCTCTTCCTTTAAACACAACCCGCTTGTCCAATATGAAGTTTCTAAGAGACGTGTTAAACCGTTTTTTTTTATGTGCTGTCCTTTGATAACCTTGTTCCAACACCATTTCTTAAACGTCTTCGTCGTGAAAACGAACGTGCATTTAAATGTGGCAGGAGGGATGAACTGCAAAGAGCATCTTTTCTGATCAAGAGTGAAATAAGACGGTTGGACTCCCTTCATGGAAGTAATCCTTTTGGGACGAGGGAATCTAAATCTGTGGCATGGAATCAAACTACTTTGCAGGTAGAAGAAAGTGATTTTCAGCTCTTCCATTGATATTGAATAACTGAATGCTGCATTTATTCATCCTTCATCTGACACATGCCCAAGTTATATCGACTCCAGTTCTCCGAACATTTCATCTTTGTTTGAACTCATTACCTGTAGTGAAATGTATGAACACACGATCTCTCAAGGTGTCGATCGCACTTGGTTCAGGTCCTACATCTAAACACGGTGCTCTGCCACTGAATCACATTTTCGTATACGTAGCTATTCTTTTACTCGAACTTCGAAACATTCCGAACTGCTGGCGCCCGGTGAGAATTACACCCATCCGCAAATAAACGACAAACGTCCAAATTGAGAAACGTTTCTGGCCCATTGCTCTAACTTCCACTAGTTTGAAATTGATGGAGCAATCAGTTCTGCATCTCCAACCCCGATAATATTCATCAGTTGGCGCCCAAACAACTGCTCTACAGTAGAAGTTGTTTCTTCTCTAGTTCACTTCAACTGCTAGTTCTCAACCGAAAAAGTCGAAAATGTGCACTGTGTATTTCTTGATTATTCTTCCACTTTTGATTCGATGTCCACTTTCCTTCTTGAATGGTTTACTGATTACATTTTGCGAAGATATCAGTGTGCTAAATTGGGAAGAAGACAGTCACGCGCATCACTCAGTACTTTGAGGTGCTGTCCTACCAACCTATTTCTTCTCGACACATATCAGTGACCTGTGAGTAGTGTGTGGGATAATTGACATTGATTGATTTGACTGACTATCCTTCGGATTTCACCTTCACGCACAATCCTAAGTTCATCGATACAACCATACACTCGGAAGCACCAGACTCGAGTTCTGCTCTTATTAGAGCTCATCAGTAGTGCATATCTACCGTCCCGTCTGGGATTTGAACTCCGGACCCATCGAAGGGAAGGCATGTGTGTTTCCACTGTGCCAACCAGCTCATGCCATGGCATGATGGGAGTTAAGAGGTTGTCATCTGTGTCTCCCATCACCACTGTCGAGCAAAATGAACTGACTGAACAAGCATGAATTGGCAATTCGGTTCAGCCATGACACGTTCCGTTCAGTTCAATTTTTACAACCATTAACCATGCACTATCGTGCGACGGTTTTGGTTCCTGTCCCTTGGTGCCCCATTTGGATAAAAGAGCAGAATGAAGATTAGAACGTAAAAAGCAAATTCAAGCGGAAGATGGAGAATTCATATAGTGTTGTTAGGACAATAATTAGTGGATGCACGAGCGCTACTGTTTGCGACAACCAACCATATCACTCAGTATCTCTAACCATCGGTGACCATCATCCCGAGGTCTACAGCCAGGGGGCCTAACGGGACCTGTGTGACCTAGTCTCCTGGTCAGGGTTTTTACACCCTCATGCCAGGTCTTCGTTGGACCAAAATTGACCTTTCTCCAACCGATACCTGCCTCGGAAAGCATCGTTCGCCGTGGCGACCTATCTGGTGACATGCGTAGCACGTCCCAAACAACGTAATCTATGGAGGTCGACTACCTGTTCCAGTGGACGACCGCGATTACCCAAAACTCTACGCCTAACCTCAGCATTGCTCGTCCGGTTTCCCCACCAGACTCGTGCAATGCTACGTAGACGATGTACAAACATCGACAGTCTATTTTTGTCCTGTTGCTGTAATGGCCTAGTCTCCGCGTCATAAAGCAGAACTATCCGAACTGTCGCAGCATATACTCGACCCTTCACGGACAACCGAATGTCGCGACGGCACCACAGATGTCTCAAGTTGGCAAATGCCAACCGAGCTTTCTGTAAGCGCGCCGACACTTCATCTGTGATGCGTCCGCCAGGTGAGATATAGCTGTCCAGATAGCAAAACTTGTCTACTTTCTCTACTACTTCCCCAGTCAGGGTGAGACTGGGTGCTGGACCAACCCAATCTTAGAGTGATATTTTGATATTTTGAAGGTGCGAAGCGCATACCGAACATGGATGCACTAGCCCTCAAACTATCCAGAAAAGCTCGCAACTCAATTAGATCTTTACTTAGAAGCACAATGTCGTCTGCATACTCTAGATCAGACAGTAAATCGATACCGCTATCCTCGCACGAGGATAGGGCTGTTTCAAGAATTAAATCTATCACGAAGTTAAATAAAAACGAAGAGAGAGAGGGCCATGACATGAGCTGGTTGGCACAGTGGTAAAACACATGCCTTCCATTCGATGGGTCCGGAGTTCAAATCCCAGACGGGACGGTAGATATGCATTACTGATGAGCTCTAATAAGAGCAGAACTCGAGTCTGGTGCTTCCGAGTGTATGGTTGAAGCGATGAAATCCGAAGGATAGTCAATCAAATCAATCAATTATATCAGTGACTTACCTATTCCTCCCCTGTACGACATTTTAAGTATGCTGATGATGTTACCATCTCTGTTTCCGTGTCTAACCAAACAGAACTGGCTGCATATAACACAAACTTATCCCGCCTCGTTAGGTATTTCACTTTATCCGGTCTTAATCCTAATCCCGAAAAATATCTCGAGTGTATTTTCGCTTGATACCGTTTCACATCTCCCTCCAAGAATGTACAAATTCAGGGAAAGCCGATGAGCGGGGCCAGCCATGTGAAGTACTTAGGTGTCACACTAGAAAGTAACCCTCACTGGTCTTTACATATCCTAACTGTTGCTCAAAGGCTGAAAATTCCCTCATTTCAAAACTGCGCCACTCCTGTTCTCATTCGTCGGTTATAGGAGCTTTTGCTCACCAATGTGCTCTCCCTATACTTCCCTATTGCTTCTCTGTGATTTCCCCTGGTTTGCTGAAGGCCGATTTCAAGCTGCTGACCCGTGGCCTCTCAATGATCAGCCGGGTTTCCCAAGTTCCTTTATCTGTTCTAATCGACAATACTTGCGTTGCTCATATTGATGCGTGTTTGAAGTTTGCTGACCATCTTCCACATGAGTGCATCCATCCTCTACACATTAACCTGTGTGCATGCAAATCACCCCTCCACCCGTTCCAAATACAAACTCATTCCATCTCGGATATCTGCCCAAAGAAACTCTTTGGTACCCTATCTTGCCTGGATGCTGAGCTTTTTAATCCATTTGGCAGTTGATTCACATTTTTGCAAATACTTGACTTGACTTGAAGAATAATTAAGTCAGGTGCAATCAGGATGAAGGTAACATTGATCGAGACATTCAACTTAGTAATTAGAATGACTATGTGAACTGTATCCTGTTCCTCCTGCACTTCACACTTCCTACTTCTCAGACTGACTCTGGTGGACACATGAAATTTTCCCCGCTGACAAGCACGTTCCAGCACTGTACCCAACCGACATGAATACACAAACCCAATAATGAATAAATGGAAAAATTATTTTCGCAATGACATCACGTTTCGAATAGCATGTACTACATGTCATTAAGTAGGTTTGCAAATCACGAAGCTCGCCCATTTTACAGCAAATTTTCACATAGTAATAAAATATGGGCAGCGATCGAGAACTACGTGACGTAGTGATGTGGCTCTGTGATATATACAAATACCCGAAAAAAACATCATTCTGATCGAGGGTACAAACTCACTTTGGACTGAGCTGTCGATCACAAACGCTGCATCCGAAATGATCCACACACCACGCCTTGTTCAAAGCGTACACTGTCTCGCCCGGAATGACCTGATTGCACGAATAACACAGCATGCCAAATAGAAGCTGGTAGTGCAACTCGCAATAGGCCAGACCCTTTTTCTCATAATGTCGTGACCCGAGGAACGGTTTCTCACAACGGGCGCAAACAAAGTGTTCTACATGCCATGTTTTGCCGAGTGCATGAACCACTCGCTCCTCGATTGGGCGTCTGAGAAAAATGAGTGAAAAGAGAAACTGGAAGTTTTACTAGCGGTAATCAGCAAAAAGGAATCAAATCGGTGAGATGAAATCAGATTATTGCACATCTTGATCGATGAAGAATAGCTTCAATACTAGTCAGGTTTGGGGAACATGTCCCAAAAAGAACGATATCGATGCATGAGTTTAAACCAACACATAAGTGGATACGGGAGTTTGTATGGGACAGGGAGAGAAATAAGATTAAGGATGAACTATAAAGCCAACGCTAACTTTATCGCCAGTCTAATTTCGAAAATGATACCGCTCCCGAATAGTACCAACCTTGTGGAGAATTGAGGACTCACACTGTGGTATATCATCACCAAAGTAATAAGCAACCGGAGCGCACCAGCCGAAAGCTGAAGTCACTGCTGCAAACCACTAGAAATGAAAACGCAACGGGCGAGTGACACCTGGATAGGTTATCAATACTTTGACTTGTCACGCCACGGTTCAACAATCGGCAAGATATTCTATACCACAGCAATGAGGAACGAGATGCAGTTCACCTCCTAGGTGAGTGCACCATTCGACTTTTTAATTCCTTTGTTCTTCCTTGTTCAAAATAACCATGGACTGGAAGAACGTTACGGGAGTAGGATGAAAACAGCACACAAAAAAACAGTTGATACTGAGTGGAGGGCCAACGGAAACATTTTCTTTGCTTACCTTATGCGAATTTGACTTTTGGGAATGCAAACAGAGCACACAATCTAACTGTGTACAACCACTTGTTCAAGTATTATAACATGATAATAAGTGAGAAAAAGAAGCCGGTTATTGTCGGTTTCCTATCATGCCCTTCAGTCTCCAGAACCAACCAATTACGAAGTTTTTGGACCGCAACCTGGAGGATGAGTCATTCACTTTACCTTTTCGCGCTGAGCACCCTTTCACACCTTGCCTACACATCATCTGTTAACCGCTAACCTATTTACTCCAACTTGAAGTGGCAACTGTAAATAAGGTAGGGTGCAGTAGACGACCGGTGGGCAGGCATAAAACGTATCCTAACCATTGAAGCCCAAGAATCTCAATTCCATGTGATAGTCAATTCCACCCCGATAAAGTTCCAGACAAACGACACCCACTCCATCTCACCTGATTTAGTGGATCTATCAGGGCGAGGCAAAAGATAACGACAGTTCAGTATATTCTTATCTCTTTTATTTGCTTCTTCACATGCAACTAAGTCTGTTGTGTCGCAATTGTGAAGTTTATTTAGAGACGAAATCAACAAGAATCGACAATTAGTTTTAGATCGGTATTCAACTTTTGAAAATTTTTACTAGGTTGTTTAACTTTTTCTGAATACATGCTGTTTGGCGGTATGTGCATCCTCATGCCGTCTCTCAATCGAGCCTGATGATGTGTTGCTGTTTATCTATTCATATAACGAATACTAACACGTTCTTGGTTTTGCGCTTATTTCAATGCATCGAAAATCAAAACTCGACGTGAACAATAATTTTAAGTAGAACGTTTGAGATGTGGTACCTTGGTGAGAAGATGTGGTTTTATGGGGTCAAACAACAACGAAAGAAGGAAGAATATACAGTTGCCCAAAGTATTTTGTCACGAGGTATGTTGTTTCGGAGTAGGACAAGAACAGCAATTTGCTGATCACTGCACTGTAATAATAAAAAGACCTATAATTTTATCAAAACTGTGAAGGGAAGACTGGTGGTGTTTATTTTGCCAAGAACTGAGAAGAAACTAAATCAGAAACTAGTCGTGTTATTCCAACGAAACGATAATATTGGACTACATGCCGCAAAGCTGCCACCGCTTCCAGTGTGCGAACAGCCCACGCGCGGATGTATATGTGCACACGTCGACTTTGGGGCGCATGCCAAGGTAATCGAAAACATGTGGCGACTGGCATCATCAATTGGTCAGATGATCGCCCGATCGATCATTTCTACCGCATGGTCGACCGGACAACCACACCTAGACTGCCTGGAACGCATCTGCTCGACTGCGCATGAAAACTCGGTATGCCCTGGAGGGGGGGGAGTAGACGGACGTACAAAATATGTGGTCCGTCTCATAAAGCAGCACACATGACCATAGGCGTTATCTAAACTGTAGTTGGGAGAATGCAAACCCCGGTTGTAAGCTTTCTAATTACTTTCATCCGATGTTCTTACTCAGCAGTTTTTGATACTGGCTCAATGACACAAAACTTGAGGCGTCCAACAGCATAGAATTGAAATCAATCAGTTATTCTAAGCTAAGTACGCGTTTATCCCAGTGTCAAGATACATCACGTGATTTTACGATGATGAACCTCGTGCAGCACTCATAACAAATTGAAACTAATAGACTGACCCACACAGAAGTACACTAAAAGCCCTCGGTTTTTCGTTAAAAAATGAACAACTTAGGACTGTCAGACTGGAATGCTTTATACAAATGATCCTTTTCTTCGCCAAAACCCAATAAACAAACACAACAGGCTGCAAGTAACTTAGCACATACATAAGCGTACTACGATTAACTGAATTGCTGGACGTTGATTACATGCTTCATAGAGCTAGGTAAATGCTGACTGCCTTTTGATGAGACTCAGTTTTGTCGTCTCTACAGCCAAAGAATGATTGCTCACAATGTCACTGACAGATAACCGGTCTAATATTGTGCACTATGCACAATGTACTTGTGTGGTCCCATTTTGTACTGCATGTGTTGTGTCTGACATATCACAGAACATTGTTTCAACGACTTCGGTCAAAAGATACGGTACGAGTGGGTGTAGGAAGCACTAGGTGTGTCAAATAATGAAGCGTGCTGTATTTGTAAGATTGCGCGTAGCCTGAATGTTTCTCGAAATGAAAATAAGAAAGCACCGCCTAGATGAGTAGACCAATCAGACTGCAGTATTCTGTTCGTTATCTTCGGCTTACCAATCCAGTAACACCACGAAAACTCCGGCGACCGGTCCAAAGCTCAACTTTTGTGCATTTTTTGTCTACCGGTTTTGTTTGCTTTCTTTGATTACTCTTACTTCTACTTTGATGTGATCATATACATATACTATTGAAAATGAGAAGGCGAGCACTGAGTGATGGTATTTATTATGACGTTTTGATCCAGACTAGGACTCGTTGTCAAACGATAATGTGTGAATGAATTGGGTCTGCTTGTGCCTCGCACTGTGGTTTGCGTCGCGCCTGTCATCAATCCATCAATTCCGCGTTCCTCATCGGTTGTACAATCGTTGCGTAATATTTATCAATTTCCACGTGTCGATTGAATGAGTTGGAATAAAGCAGCGCTTCAAGGATCAGACGTTCCCCCTTCCTCCTTGCCCTTGCCACCAATTTTGCATAATTGATTCTAACCTCGTGACCTATCGTTGCGTAGTGGTTCCAGAGATGGAACTTCAGGTCGGCGCGTAGTAGTGCAAGTGTATGTTCGTGTAGGCGAGCGCACAGTTGTTTGCCTGTCTCTTCCACGCAACGTTGGTCACAGTTTAGGAATTGCGTACACCACCCCTGATTGGTCGTGTGGTTCTAAATAGTCCTTGCCGTTGAACAAAATTGACCGCAGTGTTGTTGTAGGTTTGTGGGCAATGGCGACATCCAGAGGACACCATGCACCGTTCAAGCAGCTCCATAATGTCAGTCACTAATAGGGGTGTTCTTTGTGGAAGACGAGGATAACCTCTTATCTGATTCTGTATGCTCTCCAGAGCTAGTCGTGTCGATATTTGCGAACAGAGATGTGACATCAAAGGACACCATTTTTTCTTTCCGTTTCAGCTGTAATTCGTTTATTCGATCTAGGAATGTGACCGAGTTTGACGGGAGGATATATCGAAAGATGAAAGGAACCCCAATGGGATCACCAATATCCGGCCTACTAGCTGATGCGGTGATGAAACAATTCGAAACCAGGGTATTTGAAGAATACCATCCTCGCCTCCGGATTCGATATGCAGACGACACCTTTGTGGTGCTACCGGTAGAAAGAGTCGAGTAATTCCATGATACCCTAAACAAAGTTATGCCACGGATAGCATTTACCCGCGACGAGGAAAACGATATGAAGCTCCCGTTCTTGGACGTCCTCGTCATAAGAAAACCAGGCGGAAACACAGAAACCACTGTGTACAGAAAGCCCACGACAGACCGGGTGCGGAACTACAACAGCAATCACCCCAAATTTGACCTTTGGAGCTGTGTGCACACTTTATTCCGTCGTGCGGATACACATTATAGCACAGAGGAACTCCGGCATCAGGAACTAATGCATTTGTCCCATCAATCCCACACGGATGGATATCCCAAAAGTTTTGTCAAATCATGCCTTAGGTGAAGAAGAAAACCGAAGGACGAAGAGAAGAAAACGAAACTATGATTACCATACATACGTAGGGTATTAGAGGCCATCGAACACATCCTTCGCTCTCTGGGTGTCACCATTGTCCACAAACGTACAACAAATAAGCAATCGCGAACAAACAGCGGCGGCACTACCAGGGTAAGGTGGGTTTCAAGCTGGTCACCTGGTTCCTGTTTAAAAACCACGTAAGCCCAATGACGGTGTCGTGACAAAGATCGATATGACTGGCCTTTTTAAACGTATGCCATTGACCCCGCCCCCACTTCCGAGGGGAGGGGGGATTGCTTCCTGCTGCCTTGCAGTTCGCACATGGTTGTGCAAAAGCCAGAGGTGGTTCTCAAAATAAAACGCCGAGTGACGCTGGGGATGTCCCTCGTACCAAACTCCCAAGGAACTTCATGATCATGATCATGTCTAGAGCCGGCTTATTCTTTCCAAGGAGCCAGCCGCAGTAAAGTATATATATACATGTATATCACATGTATGCGAACAAGCGTGGTACCAATGCAATGACAATAATAACAGGTGAGAGGATTGAAGAATAGACGGAGCAAAATGGAGAACAAATCAGTCCTAGGATAGCATTAGTATCAGTGTGAGGATAGCAAGAATATCCTTTGT